ATAGGAATCACGTTTGAGTACATGGTCGTGAGAGCACACGGATCAGGGGAGCTGAGGCTGAAAAGTAGAGAGGGCAAAGCCAACATTTTTTGAGCCAGGCTGGGGCTTGACATTTAATCCCATGGGATGAAACAGCTGTGCAGTAGGTTGAGACCTGTGGCCCAGAGAAAGCCACCAACATGCTCATGATCTCATGCGAAGGCCTGGCAGATCCGAATGCAGGCCCGAGGCTCCTCAGCATCCTCCCCTGAAGGACTGGACGCCAAGATAGGGTCCTGTGGTTACACCGGGTCAGAAAACGCAGCTGGAGCAGGAAAGGGTGGGGGGAGAGGAGGCCCAAGTGTCTGCAGCAGTCCTGGCAGGGCCAGGCAGAGCGGTGGAGAATTGGCAGGTGGCCAGGAAAGCGGGCCAACACGTCTGGGAGAGGCCTCGTGGTTGGTATGAAGGCCTGGGAGGAGGGAGGGGCGGGGCTACCAAGGCCCCGCCCCTCAAACCATCTTGCGGGAAGAGCCGAGGGGGCAGGCCAGGGAGATGCAGCCAACCTGGTCCTGCCAAGCGCGCCCCCTGGGACTGGGCTGCAGCCGCTGAGAGGGGCCACTTTTGCTGTTCCTTCAAAGGGGCCCCACACCAAGGGGAATCCAAGCGTGGGTTCGAGACCGCACCCAGCCACCAAGTATTCTATGCGACTTTGGACAACACTCTCGATTCTACTTTGCCCTTCTCTAAAGTGGGACTTGATCTCTGGCCTTTGCCCCAGGCAGTCCTTCCACAGAGAGCTCCTTCTCCTCCCCCACACCCCAAATCCCACATGTCCAAATCTTTCTTGCACTTTAACTTCAAGTGCCACCTTTCTACGATGCCGTCCCTCGGCTGCGCCCCACTGCGCTGTGCTTGGCCCTCCTGTGTTGAAGGACTTCTATCATGAAATCCCCTTATGGCCAGAGACCATTTCGGTCTCCTGTGGTTTTTACTGTATTAAATTCCTCCAAGCACTTCTCTGCACACACAGAATACGATGGAACCTGCTTTCCCTCTCCCAGTCCTGCCTGATCTGGCCTGCGTCCCCCAGTCCTGACTCATCTTCAGCCACCTTCTTTCTCTGCACCAGCCACAGTAGCCTTCTTACTCTTCCTCAGCTTATTCCAGCCTCTGGACCTTTGTATGTGCTGTTGTCTCTGCGTGGAACCATTTTGTGCCAGGCTCCTTCTCATCTTTCCAGACCAGCCAAATGTCACCTCCTCTGAGAGGCCCTCCCTGATATCACATCTATAATAAGACACCCACTCCAGCCCTTCCATCATTCTCTTCCTCTCCCTTTCCTGATTTATATTCCTTCTTAACACTTATCGCCCCCAGAAATTATATGGTAGATTTCTTTCCTTTATAACTAGAAAGCCAACCCCAAGAGGACCAGGACTATTTTGTTTATTGCTTCGTTCCCAGCGCCCAGCACAGGGGCTGGCATCAGGGAGGTGTGGTAAATATTTGTTGAAAGAGTAAATGAACAACCAGAAGAAATGCATCTCTCTCCTGATATATAGCTGAGTAATTGATTGTATCTTGCTGTCTTGAAAATTTGTTGAATGAATGAATGAATGCATTTCTGTCTCCCCACTTGTAGTAGATGCTAATGTTTGATGAATGAATGAATGACAGAATCTTTGAAAAGTTGGTGTAGAGAAAGAAAAGGAAGAAGGGAGAGGGAAGGAGAGAGAGCAGCAATGGAGTGCCTGCAAACACTGGGGGATCACCCCTTGTTCCCACCTCCCACACACACCCCCACAGCTCTCCCCAGAGGTGGCCCCAGCCTCTCCCATGCCCACCCTCCCACCAGCCCCTCCCCTCTGCATCCCTGCAGGGCTGTGATGGGTCCTGGAACTGCCTGATGGAGTCAGGGGAACAGTTCCTGCCGAGCCCGCAGGGAAGTCATAAGCTCCAGGAAATGAAGGCTGCGGAGCGAAGCCTCCCCCTCACCCATAACTCCAGCCTCGTTACGACCAGCCCAGGCTCTAACATGAGGAAACAAAGCCGGATCCCCAGAGGCGGCGGCACAGCTCCGGGATCTCAGAGCAGGGCCACAAGGGGAGGGGTGTGTCCGCATCCCCCCGCACTGCCTTCATGCCTAGGCCCCACAGAGTGGGCGAGGAAGGGGTGCTGGGGATGCTCACACCAGGGTCACGGGCACTCCTGGCCTCCGTTCGTTCAGGGTGGGGCCTGAAGGGAAAGAGGGAACAGCACGGTCCCATGTTTGGGACTCCTCCCTCCTCTCTTCCCTAGGGACTGTGAGGTTTTCTCCTGTTCACTGCCCAGAAATGCAGCTTTAACCTCCTCACTGTCCCCCCTGCCAACAGATGACTCCCTACCCTGAACCCCTTCTGTAAGGAAGTTCCTTTGCACATGTGGGGAAAGAACACTGGGGAATCAAGCATCTGCAGAATGGGTATAAAACACCAGCCTCCACAGTTGCTATGACTCACACAAGTTAGTTAAAGGCGTGAAAGCCGCCCGCTGTGGGTGCTGGGTCACAGGAGGTGGTCTACATTTCTTCGGCCCTGAAGATTCCGGCCACCTCCTTGTTCCACAGGAGGACCTGGCCCATCCTCTGCCCAGCCATACACCCCATGCTTCCCACCGAACTTCCCCAACCAGCCAAAAGCCCCCTAGGTTCCCTGCACACTCCTCTGCCACAACGCTCATCCCTTTCTTTCCATCCACCCAGAAGCCCCCTCCTCCAAGAAACAGCCAGGATTCCCTCCCACCCACCTTCTCCTTCCAGACACCAGTGCCCACTCCCTTCCCTGAGTCCTTCTTAGAGCCCCGCTCACACGCCACCTGGCATTTATGTTGCTCACCCCACTAAACTGGGAGCTTATTTATCTCTGTCCTAGCATCCAGCCCAAACCTGGCCGAGCCGATGCTCAGTGGAATTGAGTTGTTGAACTGAGCTGAACTGGGCTTGGGGAGAAGAGTGGGGATTGAGCCCCTCACCTCCACTCACTCTTGTCAGTGCCTGAAATTCCTCCATTAAAGCAGCATTGCTGTCCCCTGTAAACACCCACATTAAGCCATTATTCATCATTATGGCTTGAGTAGGAGTTAGTCCCTCAGATCCTTTCTTGCTGAAAGCAGGATTTGATGGAGGTGAGGGAAGGAAAGATGGATTGATCTGGGGATGGCAGTGCTGGTCCAGGAGCAGGGAGAAGTGTCTCTCAGAAGCTGCAAAAGGAAGGTTTTCTGAGGGAATGTGGAGACACCATGGCAAGCTCAGAGGGGTTGTGGCCCTGCCCAAAGTCACTCAGGGCACCTCCAAGCAAGGCCCCCTGGGACTCAGGTGCCCCACTCCTGCAGGGGACTGTGCAGGATCTAGCATGAGATCAGAGGGCCTTCCCTGGGCTCCTGTTTTGGGTGGAATGACCTCTTACCTGCTTTGAGAAGGCGGGAATGTGGGTGGCCGGCTGGGTGCTGGACTCTGTGCACCCAGGAGGCCTGGGTCCTGGGAGCCCTTGAAGACCCCTTTTAGAATGGCCTCCTCCCTCTCTGGGGTGGGGGATTTCCAGGGGGTGGGCTGGGCTGGATAGATTGTCAGCTAGGGTCAGGGAAAGCAGCTGGTAAGGTCCCAGCTCCCGTGGGCATGGGGTCTGGTGAAGAACCACGCAGAAGGAGCTGGGCGAGGGGCTGTGAGAAAGTTGGGGGAGGTTGGGAGAGGACAGGTGTGTGATGGGAGTTGAAAGAAAGGATCCAGGGGCGCCTGGGTGGCTCAGTTGGTTAAGCGACTGCCTTCGGCTCAGGTCATGATCCTGGAGTCCCCGGATCGAGTCCCGCATTGGGCTCCCTGCTCAGCAAGGAGTTTGCTTCTCCCTCTGACCCTCCCCCCCTTGCTCTCTCTCTCTATCTCATGCTCGCTCTCAAATAAATAAATACAATTAAAAAAGAAAAGAAAAGAAA